GAATGGCTGTATGTAGTCACACCTGCACCGGCTTAGAGTCTCTGCCTGGGGCAGGGGGCTGTTAGCTGCCGGCCGTAGGATGAAGGTGAAGCTCCTTATGGGATGTCAACGACGGCGGAAAGAGGAGGTAATGAGGAGGGGGTGGGGTCGCTGTGGTTCAGCTTGTCGCAAGATCCGTGAGGTTCTGGGTTATTTATGGGGATTTTTATATTTCCCACTCAAACTTCTGCTGGGAGCTGTGCGATTAGCCTGACTATATGTTGCCAAAATGAAGGAAACATTAGCAGAGCTTACTGATGACCTGTGGTATTTGGGGTACTGAGCTGATGATGTTCTATGTACCTGTCACGTTTTAGAATGACACATCACATCTGTGCACAACAGCCTTCCTTTATAAAACCTTTTCTTGACTGGTAATTTTGAGAGCTCTGAAAAATATACTCTTGCTGCCTACTGATGGCTGAGCTGAGAGAATATAATCCCAGCGAAATCCACCAGAATGTAAATGTTAAATGAAACTGTATGGATTTTTTTTTATACCGCTGATGTCTCTGTGTATGGGATGAGGATGTACCGTGAATGAACAGCAGCATGGAAAAAATATAGACAACAAAGAGCAGGAGCCACTGGTCTGTACCCTCAGCGTTTCTGAGGAAAAGGCTTTTAGAGGATTCTACACCCAATGAAGGCATTTATAAGAACAGCCGGATATGGGCATCAAAGCGGCACTTGGTGGAGTGGAATTCGGCCCGACGCAGACCACGGTCTGGTGAGATCTTCCGGGGGCAGGGCAGCATGTCCGCACATTTTCGGATTCAGGAAGCCTTTCTGGCTGCGGAGGCCAGGGCACCGGGCCTGTTTATAGCCTGGAGTCATTTTTCCAACTGTCAGCCCTGCTGGAGTCAATATGACTGGAGGCGATAGCAGTGTGAAGCCTTGAACCTCCTCGGGAGCCTCAGCGGCAGGGCAGGAGAAGCCGGATCCCTCATTCAGGCTGGCCCGGCTCATCTCCCCGCTGCCATTCCAGCCAGATGGAATTTTAAGCAGTGGGCCGGGAACCCGGGACTGATAAACATGGTGACCATGGACACCTCTTCCTTGGCAGGCTCACAAATGCATTATGTTGAATGACTTTAAACTTTACAGCAGTGGAATGGGAGAGAGAGAAGGGAAAAAAACAGAGAGGGAAATCAAATGCATTCCTCCTTCCCGGAGTCGCCGGAGCTTAATTGGAGGGACTCGGATGCAGGGGAATGATAATTTAACTGCAATAATGATTAAAGTGATCATGTCACCAGATTCTGAGCTATTAGCCCGAAGTCAACTAGCAGCATCCTGTCCCTCCCCACCCACATGCACACGCTAATGATGATTCGTCAGAAGTTTGTTCATCTACCCAACTGGCAAAACTAGACAGACAGTTCGAACAAACAGAGTGTTCTCCTCACGACACAGAACAGTCACAAAAGGGACTATCAAACAATAATAAAGTACGCGATTTAAATAAGGAAATGACCTCAAGGGAGTAGCAAAATTTGGAACGTTGCTTAGAATATCATGGCCGATCCCGAGATCCCGATATTCAATAAAACTTGGGAAAATGCAAATGTGCTTCACGCACGTAACATCGCTGTGCAGATTTTTCAGTTCTTCAGCATGACAGGAGTGTGAATTCCCTGACTCACACAGTGAGCTTGCAGAGTCGTACTCAGACAGAGCCTTGCTTTGTCCCGATGTCACATTCCCGCGTAACAGAAGCCCTGGATTTTAGTACGAAGCTGTTGTGCCTCTGGCTCAGTGCTAAATTGGGGGGAGTATATATTCTAACTTGTACTGTGGGAGCTGTAATGAAATAAAGCACAATATTATTACATAAGCGTAGCATAAGCACCCACATTACATCGACATTCTTCAATTTAGTATAAAACACTAGTGATGAATTCTTCTGCCAAATAAAAGGGTAGGATGAGTGAGGGGCCATCAGTGTGTGGCCTCAACAGTCTGTAACATCACCTAGCATGTCTCTGTCCACTGGGATCACCATGGTTTTGTCAATCTACAGCCAAACCTGTCTTTCACCAAAAAGGAACCCAAAAAACTAGGCATAGTGGACTAGCTATGCACTTTGCAGGGTTTTAAGAAAACCTGGCCCCAGCGGTTACCTTTGGACTCCCCCAAACTCATGCTAAAGATGCTAAAAGCAATGACATCCTGTGGCATAAATAAGAAAAATACAGGCCATTAACAAATAGGTAAAATGTGGCCAGTGCTTCACGCAGTCCGAATGGTAAAGCGCAAAAACGCTGCAGTCGGATTGAAGTGGAAAGCGATTTTTTTTCTTGGACTCTGGTGCCAAGACAATATGGCAGCCACCTTTCTGCCCAATCCTGTGCTACTTTAATGTGAGCCAAGTTACCCAGCAACTCGTCAATTCCCGTCGTGTTATCCATATCAGAATTCCATGTCTTGTTTTCTTTCTGGTTGAATCAAACAAATCCATTGGGTTTGTGAATCTGCACGACAGGCTTTTCTAGTCTCTGTGACACTCTCTGTGTCCCCCCCATCCCATCCCTTGTCTATCATCTTATTCCATTTTCCCCAAACCCCCTTCTTCCAGAACACAGTATGGGTAAGACCCAGCCACCATGCATGGTGTGATGTCTATACAATGCTTTATGAGATTGGAGCTATCAGGTTTAGACCAAGACATACAACATAACATACAGAAGTTCCTGCAGGTAGCTGTGATCTATACTAGCCCTGCAGGAGTTAACTCAGCTCCACAGGGGACCCCAAGAGGGACTGTAGCTTAGGGTCTGGTCTGAGCCCAGACCCAGGCTGGTGATTTCTGGTGCATCAAACATGATCGACCCCACACCCCTCCCAGCTTGCAAGAGGGTAATGTGATAAACTTGATGGAAGATTGGATGCCTGCCTGGCAATAAAGGATGAGCTTGTCCCAATTCTTTGGATCTGTGTGCATGAACTTAAAGCCACAGGCTTTAAACTGCAGTCCAGGGTCAGATAATCCTTGGGGTAGGTGGGGGTTAGGGGCCCTGCTCGAGGGGCCAACAGTGAAGCCACTCTGCTGACCCAGGGATTTAAACTGGTGACCTCACAGGCATAGGGTCCTAATCTGCTGAGCTACACAACACCCACTGGAATAAAATGAACAAAAAAAAAAACACAAGAGGGGTTATACATCATATGGCTTCTCTATTAGAAATATGAAAAATGTATTATCAATGAGGCGCATTACTGGCCCTGGAAAATTCTGTGCTTTCCGTCCAGGGGAGCAAACAAACAGTATTCCCTCCCAGGAAAAAAAAAAACCATGGGCACAGAGTGGGCTTTGACGGTAGGCTGATTTGGCATAATCGAAGTTCAAAGCCACGCTGTACACCACTCGCTGGAATAGCTCTTTGGTGAGCTTCCTGGGACGCCAGCCAGGTTTTTGCAAAGGATGCGCTTTTTTAACAGTATGACCCCCAAGTGTCTCCCGGCTCGTCGTTGTATTTCAGGTTTATTTTGTATAGCCAGAGCACAAAGGCTGAAATTCAGACATTCAACATTATTTAACCTGTTTCAAATGGAACTTGTAATATAGAGACAGGTTAAGCGTTTGTAAGTTTGTTTGTGTGTTGGCTGCATTGCAGAACTTATCTAAACCTGTTTAGATTCGCTGGCAAAAACATTTACGGAAATGTCTAAGCCTCCCTTTCCATTATCCAGCTGTCATGTTACCTCAACGTTAATGTAATGACCAGACGGCCACTACTCCTGTTTGTCTTCAATTACTGCTGATAACTGGCAGATATTAAAATGAGCTTCTGTAACAGCAAATGAAACGGGTTTGACTCCAAGGTTCAGTTTCAAAATTTGTGATTAATTCAGTCATACTGTTGTAAAATGAGCCATTTTGGGCCTTGACTGTAGTATAGGAATAGTCTTTAGTTTTCTTTTTGAAAGGGTTCCAGTTTAACTAACACCGTCAAATAATTATTCACACTATCGTCAAGTCAAGAGACAGCTAATAGCAATGTCAGAACTGATCACTCTAACCAGTGGAAGATATCATTCTAGTTCATGTATTTCTCTGATTGAACGGCTGTCACAGTGTAATGGGGGATGATATCTACAAATTACAGTTTTCGTTAGAGATGTAAATCTTTCTTCAGGACTTGGGCCTTGAGAATTATTGTGATTTTTAAAAAACCGAATTATGTAGCATTATTTTAGAGGAAATCTCAGCAGCTAAAACCATTAATGAGTTGTTGACACTCTGCAAAACAGAAAAACTAAAAACCGCGTTTAAAAAATGACACTGGAATTGTTCACCCGGTACCGCGTCAGACAGGGTGTTAACAGATTTCTTTTTTTATACATTTTTTTTAAAGCATCTGTACATCTAAGTCACGTTATTGTTTTTTCTTGCATTTGGAATTCCGGTCTCCAATCCTGCCTCTGCTCCACACACCTGTTTCTCTTCCTCATCTTTCTCTCCTTCTGTCTTCTTTTTGTTTTAAATTAGGGAAACCAAGCACTGGCCAGCAAATGGTGTTTGAAAGAAGAGGGGGAAGAAAAAAAATCAAAGAAAAATCCCAGAATGCTTGCTTCCTTAGACCCGCGGAACAGTTGAACTGAGCACAGCCATCTCCTGTGAAAGGGGCTGCAAACCGTCTGAATGCAAATGAAATCCCACTCATTCCTGCAAATATTGTCTTATCCATTAGTGCGGGCTGACAAGAAAGGAGTAGGTCCGCATTGTGGCCCGGCAAGGAGAAGTCAGGGGAAGAATTCTATTCAGTCCCGGTCGAGGGGCTCGCCGCTCTTTGGTTTTGTTTGGCACCATTCAGACGCCGTAGACCGTGGTAACAAAGAGAGCTTTCAGTCTACCTCACTGTAAAAGCATGTGAAAAAAAGAAGGAGGAGTAGAGGGAGGGAAAGAGAGGGGAAAAAAGTGGACGAGGGGTTGCTGGAAAAGTCGAGGTGTAGTGCTGGGAGAGTTGGGCCGCGTGTTCCTGCCGTTGTTTTTCTTACGGCCGGAGACTGAGAAACGATGCGGAGGAAGAGGGGTACCTTCCACCTCCTCTGGCTTAACGGATCCACACCGGAACGCCTGTCGGGTTCTGAAGACGGAGCGGTCAGATTTTGGTCTGCCCTGGTTTTTACGAGTACCCTGCCCTTTTTCAAGCCAATCAAACCTGCTGATGTCGAACTTTTATAGTGTCCTGAACACAGCCCCATTTTGCCTCCGCGCTCACTGCGCTTCTAGGTTATACCTTAACTGAAAATACTTTTCCGGTGTCTGTTCTCAGGGAAAATGGGAGTAAATGGTAATCTTTACACATTTTGCCTCTCGCCTTTGTTTAATTTACCCCTCTCTAAAATTCCAAAGTCTGCCCCATTCAGCCAGTCTAAATAAACACATTCAGTCACGCTGATGTTGTTTTCTTTGCAGGCTACGCATGGAAGGTGGACCTATTGAAGCCAGTGGAAGCTCCACGAGTGCAGCTGGAGGAGATCCGGTCAATCTCGGGGGGCCCTGCACACTGTCCATGTCATCGGGATGGGCCGGGTGTGAGTGGTTTTAAAGCCCCCACCCTCGTAACAGGTGTGACCATACCCTGCTACCTTTCAGCCCACCTGCAAATAGCAGCACCCCTTGGCAAAATTTTGATGTTTTTAGGCTGTTCGGCAGCTGGCTGAAAATGTTTGACAAATAGTAAAACAACCAAATCCTTAAAAAGCCCATGGCTCTGATTTATTTTTGCCTTTTTTTTGTCCTGCAGGGCGGCCTTGGGGCTAACCAGCTGTATAATCATGCCATTCATTTCTGTTTTATTGACAGATGTGACTTCAACAGAATACTGATGCTTCCTCGAACCTTTGGGAGATGGCGGATTCCGGGGCGTCTGCTCGCTGAATTCAGTGGCTTTCAGAGGCGATCTCGCAAAGGATGGAACATGCCGGGGTTTTCTTCAAATGAGCATTTCATTTGGAGGCCAGCGTTTTGAGAGGGGACCCAACATAAAAGGAAAAATCAATTCAGGGACGCCGAACCATCCTTGAAGGAAAAAGCCACACCACCAGCCTGCCCATCTGAATTCAGTGCAGACACATTCCACTTACTCAAATGTTTAAAAAGGCACTGAATTAAGTATTAGGACAAACTTTGCAGAAAAATGTAAGGACAAAAACAACAAACTAAAGTGTCTGTGTCGAACCCTGAAAATCTTTATTTTTGCAGTTTTAATTTGTTTTTTGTAATTTTTCATTTGAATTTTTCCGGAAGCACACTACACTGGTGTCAGATTGACCAGAATTCCCATAATGCAATGGGATGATTGATGGCCATCACTTAATCACCGGGCAGGACAATGTGTAAACCAGTGTTAGGAGCCCGTGGCTTGCGAGCCGAGGGCTGTTTTTCCTATACGTGCTCCCCTGACCTGTCAGCTATGTATGAAATAGCAGCACGGAGGCCAGTCGTGCAGAGGCCGCACCAAAACAGAGGGCCAGATGTGCCCCGGGGTGAGCATTCAGCCGGCTGTCGTATCCGAATGCGGACGGGAGCAGAGACGGTCCCAAGGTAACCCCAGGTAAACAAACCAGAAAAGTAAAAAGGAGAAAAGGTGGTGAGAGATACAATGGCATGGTTGGCTGCGTAATTTTAGCCGGTTTATCTTCTTTACACAGTCAGGATGACACATTAAACTCTACTTTCAATCATGTTAACATCTAAAAATTATTATAATAATGTTTTACAATGAGACATTTGCAATCATACATAAGAGTAAAAACCTATTTCAGTATCCATAAGGAGTTGAACAGATTTTGGCCAGATTATAAAAAAATGTCACCTAAAGCTGCTCCATCCAGAAAGAAACACAAAATCAACAGACCTCATGTTTAATTAGTAATACAGAACATAAATGAAGCTTGCTGGTGTTCTCACTGTAGATGTTTATATAAATGTAGCAGGTCTCTGCATTGTGGTTAGACGGGAGCACACTGTCATAGCAGTGCAGCATTTGCCGTTATTGTGTTTTTACAGCTACAGCATTGCTGCTTGTAGTGTTCGCATACCGTATATGTCCCCTGTGAGCTCTCCGGACGACTGCTCTCAGCGACCGGTGCCTTTCAGCAGAAATGCAAGAGAAAAGCAGATCAAGTCAGAGGCACTAGGAGGACGATGGAAAATCGGGCCTCAGCAGGTCCTGGGGAGTCGGGTTTCTGTCTCAGCTGGCCGTTCGGAACGCATGGGGGTGCCGGGGTGCTGATGTGCAGCTAAGGTAAGAGCAGGATCGCCAACCTCAGCTAGACGGGCCTGGGGGAGAGTCCCATTACCAGGTGGCTGGGATCTATCTCCTCCGTGTGGAAACTGGCTTTTTATATTTCTTATTTATCCAAAGTGATGCACATTTTGGAGAAAGTAGGATCAGCGAGTCCCTGGAGCAACTGAGGGCTAAGAAGCCTTGTGCAGGGGCCCAGTGGTGACATCACTCTGTCAGCCCTGAAATTTGAACTGGCAACCTTCTGATTACCCTCCTGTAACCCCTGTAGCTTTATAATTAGAGGATTTTTGTTCTTAAAGCTATGGGTTTAAGTCCCAAGCAGTACATGTGACTTGTCACCCTTCCCTCTACTGTAAGTCACATCATGTCAGATAAATTAGTTAAATGTAACTCCAGTAATCCTTCATATTAACCAGAGAAAATAAAAAAATAATATATATATATATATATATATATATATATATATATATGTCTGTATATATATATATATATGTGTGTGTGTGTGTGTGTGTATGTGTGTGTGTGTGCATAGCTCTCTGTTTTGGGGGGCAGGCTGTGGTAAGACGAGTAGGAAACACATGTAGTTCATTTCAGTTCAGGGGTTAATGAGCTAGGAATTTAGAAATGAATTTGGATTCTTCCTATAATCAGAAAAGGAAAAAAACAGGTGTTGCAGGTGTTGGAAAATTACAGAAGCACATGCCTGTAACAGAAGGCAGCCATTTGTTAGTTTTTCACTAAAAGTATTGAAATCTGAAATGTTCATTCACCCATGTTCCATAAGCATTTATCGAGTGCACAGGATATTTTACATAGCTATCAATAAATTCTATTCATCAACATAATCCATCCAAGTAGGTTTGCCACAACCCCAAAAAAACAATTCTTTATCTTTGCTGCTATGATCCATGAGGAAAACACGGATCACCGGCTATACAGAGAAACTGCGGTGGATTAATAATAATTAAGCAATCGAGCTGAAAGGGACATTCATACCAGCTTTAGTTAAACTGTGTTTATGAAAACCCTGCCTATTGTATTTCTGACACCGGGAGACCTGTGCAAAATTAGAGGGAAGCAGACCCCCAGCATCCACGTTTCACGCTCCCCGATGCCTCAGTGTCTCCGAAATTCCCCCCAACCCCACCGGGAGTGGCATCTTCCAAAGAGGTGAATGGGATTATGTCAGACATGTTTGGAGGAAGTAGTTTTGGCAGCAGATTGGAAGCAGGTAATGGAACAGTCAGGCGCGGGGGGTAAACTCACGCCGCAATTAATCTGCACTGTTAGGCACGTGATGAGGCTTGGAATTAACTCTTTTATCATTATGGGTGCCTTTCAATGGGACACGGCGGGGATTTTGAGTTCGTAAATTGATCGCTAGGAATACGAACAGCTTTAAAATAGGCTACAGAGCCACGTGACCACGCTGGCGCAACCGTAATAGCGATGGCAATAAAACCAGAAGAGAAAAACAAAAGTGGCATTACGATAAATGTAATGGTAACGAATGTTCGACAGGTTTCAAAATATATAGATACCATTGAGTAAAATGTATGGCAAAAAAGCCATAACAGATGTTTTGGAATTGTGGACAGATGACTGGTCAATTGGCTTTCCCAGTCACCCGTGCCGGTGGAAAACACAGGGCGACGGGGTGGGGGTGCGTTTTGAAGATGAGAATAGAGACTCGGATAATTGCAGACGCGCGCACTGAGGTGTCTGCTTCCTACATCCTGCGCTTTCAGCGGATCGCGCCGCAGTAGTAAACACAGGATCCGCAGCAGCGAGACGGGCTCCAGGCTCCGTGTTTTAACTCGACGTGTTCCGACAGATTACATGCAGCCGGCCCCCTGGGGGGGCACGGGGATCGGCAGGCTGATTCAGCCAGACGAGCCGGCTGTGAAGTTCTGTAGGAAGTCGCAGACAGTAAATCAACCTTACGTGTAAAAGAAAAAAAAATCAAAATCAGAAACGATCAATTCAAAGGAGTTCAAATGCTCTTTGAAATAACACAGCGCCAGACCACAACAGAAGCCTTTTAAACCTGGCCTTCTACGTTAAAATGATTACAACTTTACTTATCGTTTTAAAAACCACTGGCATGTGTAATTTAAGAGAGACATAAGTGTTTGGATGAAAAATATTCCAATGTGTAGTATGTAGTGGCCTACTATGTATGTTTAAGAAAAAATTAAATAGGCCTGAATAATTGAAAGACGACAGGTTTTTCACGTGGATTTGGAAATCTCAGCGGCACAAATCGAATGTGAATAAATCTGTCAAGAAAGAATTAGCCGGAGGCTTAGGTAAACTCCCGGAGTCTCTTAAAATATATGACGTGCAATGTTTCCCTCTTAGACATTAAAACACGTAGCCTACATTTCACTGCAAACTTCTGAAACATCGATGACCGGTGTTTATTCGATCCCTTCTTGGCGTTTGCGTGGTGAAACGGCAGAAGGTGAATAAAAACAGGGCTCGGTTCAAAACCTTCTTAAACAGGAATTGTACTCTGTATTTGGAATTTGCTGGGGAAAAGGTCCAAAATATCTTTGCAGATAATTAATTGCATGTTTTGGCAATTCATCCATCAGCGGGGTTTGCCAATTCCTGCTTTTGACAGCGTGTGACTTCGGCGACGTGCACGGGGATTTAGGGACGCCGCTATAGGGAGGGCACCATTGTAGAAGAAATATTCTAAAACTGCTATCACTCAGCGAGGTATGATGTGGTTTTATCGAAGGCACCAAAGTAGCCCCCGTTTCCTAAATACGTTAATAAGCAGCTACGGTTTCCTGCAGCTGCTCCCGCGGTCTTTACACAGAAGACCGGGATCACATCGTCCGGAAAACGTCCTCAGAGTCTGGGATTGGGTATAAAATGTAAGTGCACATATAGGTGTATAATAAACGTAACACGTGGATTGCTATGGGGGTGGACAGCTTTACTGTTACCCGGCTGGCTGTGCCCCCCCCCCCTCCTTCTGTCCTGGATCAGGCATCTCAACCCCCCGAATATTTCTTCACCAATTTTAAGGCGCTTAAATAAGTCACAGTTTCAGTGACAGTTTCATTATCTTTCATTGGAACCACTGCTAGCCCTTTTAAATCTGGAAGAATTTATCCTATACCAATGATTTATGTGCTAGTCTCCTTCTGGAAATTCAACGGTTATTTTAGGCGGCATATATGAAAGTAAAAGAATAATACTTTTATAAATATTTTTGTTGGCATGTAACCTTTATATAGATTTATTTTTTCAGTAACGCTAAAGCTGAGGTTACAGTAAACGGTGATGCCGTCAGATCCGAAATGCGACCAAACGTTCCCAGCTTTTCCCTCGACCCAGCTGCTAAAGTAAGTTACGGTTTGTTGTTGCTCTCCGAGTCCAGCTGTGGCCTCACCATCCTGCGGTTTAATAGATCCACTTATTTCTAAATATAACTTTCCGACTTTGTCATCTTACACACTCACCAGTTTGTGGACAGTGTGCGCTTTAATTTCACGTTTTGGTTTTGGGCTTCTTTAAAGGCTACCGTTCGTCCGCATTGTACTGAAAAATTGAAGCAGAAGAGCGAAAATGCGAACTACTAATGTTAAAGAGTTCAGTTATATTCACGTTGTGATTACGCTGTAAATTGCATCTAAATAAATGTGAGTAAGATGTCGGTTTGGCGAATGAGGGACGCTGTTAAACACGGAACACTTTTGAAAGGCCTGTCACTTCACTTTGGGCATCAATTTGCCATCTGATTCCGTTTACAGGGCTTTTTCTCCCGTTAAATTAAAACTTATATCTCAGTTGGTAGCCATGGCGTTTAAAAATAGCGACGGCAGAAGAGTGGCTCTCAAACACTCAGCCGACAGAGTTATTGTGCTCTGTCCCTCACTGGTGGCTGTAAACCACTTCCCAATGGTTACTTAATTGGTTCCCATATAGTTACAAGGGGTAGTGATTGACAGCTCGCAACGATCCCACCCACTGTGTGTTTAGGAGCCTAATTTCTCCCATAATTAGTTAGGAATATGTGACGCCCCTTTAGATTATGGGACTTTTTGGTGATGTCACAGAGCCTAGACCACCAACATAGGCGTCTCTCTTTCGGGGGGTGGGTGGGAGTGAGTAAAACCCCCATTTTTTCTTGAACAAAGGGAGTTGCCTATCAAAGGCAGGTTAGCTCTTATGCTTTTGGGTCAGAACAACGAGCTTAACCCTAACATTTTGGAGTGAGACCACATTTCTGCCTACACATTATAGCAGTGCGGCTGTGTTGTTCAGTGTATTTCCTATTAAAATGGGGGCTTTTGAGGTCAAGCATTGAAAATCTGTGCATTATTCACCTGGAATGTGTGAAGATGACCTTGTGCTGTCGCTCTGGGACTTACGCAAAGCCACTACCCCGGGTCATTGCTGCCGGCTCGATTCGTTAGCGTGTCGCTAATCACCGCCCACAGAGAGGTGACTGGAAACGT